CTCTGTCACGTTGTGGCGTGCCCAGGGGACGGGGGGGAAAGGGCTCTGCCCGCTCCCCAGGCGGCCGGGAGGGACGAGGGTAGGACGGAGGCGAGCTGGGACCGGCTCGGCCACGCTGAGGTAAAATGGCTGCCCTGAGGGCACAGGGAGCTGGATCCAGGCCTGGGTCCACTGCTCAGCCATGCGAGCATCCTGCTTACGTATCCCCTTCAACACAACATTAAAAGCAAGTTTTAGGATTCTTGGGTTTTGGTTTTTTCCCCCCCAGCAATGTGCTCTCCCATTTCTGAGCGCTCCATTGTGGTTTTTAGGGGCTCTTAGATTCATCTCACAGCCTGCTCTGGAAGGACACTCAAATCTTTGCAGGCTGAGCACGATGACGTTGAGCAGAACCTTAAGAATGCACTTGACTTTGTTCTGTGTTTGTGTAGGTTAATAAAAGTGGAGGAACAAAAAAACATTTTAGATTGAAGCAAGTTGCACCTCAAGTGGACGCATTTATGAAAACATCGTCTCCTGAGGGCTATGTGCTCCTGCAGATGCACGCACGCGCTATGCGGTCCATCTTCGGAGGTTTAATGAGAAAGGCGTACAAAAGAGGGCAGGAAAGGATTTCCTGGGGAAGAAGCAAGAAAATAAGGTACACTTACGTTATGTTTATGAGTTTGTAATCTAAATAAAGTCACTTTAAAACACCAGCGTAGTAGTCTAGGTTGTCACAAAGCCTTAAAAAACGCGTTAAGGCAGTAAATGTAGCTGTAGATAGACAAACCGCTTCGGTGCGCCCCAAACCCTTGGAGCACAGCAGCTCTTCCCTGCGCCGCGCCAGCAAGACTCGTTCCTCTGCTCGCGCCCCGCCGCTTGGAGTTCGGGTCGCAAATGGCTTTGGAAGCGAGAATTTTGCGTGTGATCCGCAAGCTACAACAGATGTGGGAGGGATACTTGTAAAAATGTTTGAAATAGTTGTGCTTTTGCAACCTGGATGTCTCTCGTTTATCCCTTGGTATCTTTTGTATCAGCACAAGCGAGTCCGTGTGGTATGGAAAGGTTGAGTCGCTGTAACCACCGCGATGGGGTTAAAGCAGGATCTGAGTGTGCAGAAAAACCCTTTAGGCTCCTAAGTTAATTAAGGGATTTTGAAAAATGTGTCATGCCTCTTTAGTAGAGTCTGTCATGCATACTTCATTTTTCATGTGTTAATTAAAAATGCATATTCCTCTAGAAAAACAGCAATCCCAATGACTTACAGTTAGAAAAATATTTTCAGTATAACGTCATAACGTGTTTGACTGTTACAAATGCCTTTCATTTTTCTCTCGCGTAGGTTAACGCACAGCAATGTGCTCTGCTCGAGCGATTTTTAACGTTAGTAGTATCCGTGCTGGATTGCTGGTGGTTTAAAGACAGACTGCTATTAATCACTGAAAGATGTTATGAGAAAGCCCATCTTCAGAAGTGATGGTTTGCAAAGTATAAACTACCGAGTATCTGGGGATTTTCAACATCTTTTTTAAAAGAGTGTTATGGTTTCACAGTCTCGTTTGTAGCGGAACACGAACCGGTGAGACGGTGACGGCAGTGCCCCTGTGGTTCCAGCGCTGATCTACGTGACTTCAGTGGGTGCTTTTGAGTGAATACGTTTTTTTGAACCAGCACAATTTAACAAGCTAAATCAGTTATTTGCCAGCTCAGCAGAAATACTTGTTGCATATTAAAAAGAAAAGAACAACTCCCCTCCCCACAAAAAAACAAATCTCAAAGACCCCAAATATCCTCTTCCCAGGTGTCGGGAAGGCTCCATCCTTTGCCAAGAAGTGAGTCTTTATTTTCAAAAGCTTATTAAACTGCTGAAAGTTATTCTTAAAGGTATCATAAAATAATGGTAAGTCCACCTGGTTTGTGAAAACCCTATTGCGTAATTTCTTTTGTGTGTTAATAATCCTCATAACTGCTTTAAATGATTGCCTTAATTACCTTAATGAAGTGTCTCTTTATAGAAATATTGAATGTTTTCTTCTTCCTTACCTTTTTTAGCTCTGTGTTATCAGTGGAGAGCTTCAAACAGCTGGATAAGGTGCAGAACATTTATTTGCTTAGTCAGAGTCACTTCTGGCTTTCTGACAAAATGTATATGTGGAGAATCATTAAACATTAATTATGCAGAAAATAAATTACCGGGAAGAAAATGGCAAATAATCTTGCTAAAAAAAAAGCCGACTACTGTAAAGTTACAAGCTTTCACTCTCAAAATGAGAGTAATAAAGCCCAGGGCTTTCAAACGGAGAATAGTGATGAATATTGCCAATATTAACTGCGTAACCCAGTACAGGACGTGTCTCAGGGTGCTGAACTTACCCAGGTGGAGCTGTGCTGGAGGACGCTTTCTTACAGCCGCTCCTCAGTCTGCTTTAGGCCTGCTCCCCTAGAGAAAGAAAAACAGCAACTTCGGTTTGGCCTTTCCTGGCGTTTTCACAGCTTTCCTTCCTCTCCCCCTCGTTCCCAGACCTCTTCCCACGGCGTTAAAACTCACTCTCGCTCTTTGCAAATAACCATCCCGATGCCGCAGGTGGGTCTTTTTATGCAAAAATACTAAAATGCTTTATAATGGGGTCACTGCTCATTATAAAGAAGTAAATTATAAATAAATTGTGACGAAACAGAGGCATTGGCAGCAAAGTGTTTTTCCCAAGATGGGGAGGGTCAGGGGCCGAGCAGGGACCGCAGCCTGCCTCTGAGCTGGGTGGGTTGGGCGCTGGCTTTCCTCCCCTTTACCGCTCGCCTGGCTCTGTTAGCAAAAACCTGTTCTTCCTAAATCACCGGCGGCCTCCTTGGTACGGTACGATCCAGCTGGGATTAGCCTTGACTAATCTGACTTTGTCGCAAAATAACAGGTTCGTCAAAGCTCAGATCGTTTGGAAGAAAAGGGTCGTTTTTAAAACGGCGTCTTAAGTTGTAACGTGGTTTTGGAGAACTAAGCTTTGAATTGTCCAAACTTGCTGTTTCCCTCCCGTAACAGTCGTTCTGAATATGCTGCTTGAGTGGTTTCTTGTGGCATTTCAACAGTAAGACGAAACTGCACAGATAGCGTCTTTGGAGCTTGAAATATAAAGCCGATGTTTTGGGGGCCTTTGATTTTAAATAGTGCCTCAATGTTATCAAAGGTATTCATTCGCATGTAGAAAAAAGATGCAAAAATAACAGCCCGTGATTTTTTTTCAGAGAAACTCTGAGTACATTGATAAGACAAGGAAAGTGTGTGTACGTTTGAAAATACGTCCCATAAAAGCGGATGGTGGCAGAGCTCGTTTTCTTTATGGAGACTGATACGTAAGCAAAAAGATTTCATGTGCACGTGCTGTGGCATGTCTGGATGCAAAGGAAAAACACAGCACACTGATGGTGTGAGATTTTCCTGAAAGCCAGCCCGTAAGGACACACACAGGTAGAGCTTTAAAGAAGAAAAGCCACTCGGAAAGAGCAGGCTGCGTCAACGGGCGTTTTCCATAGATAACACCACCGGAATTCAAATCACGTTTGGAAGGCATCATGAAAATGCTCATTTTTAGAAATTCTGAAACGTTGCTTTTTTTTCTTCATTAGAACAGCTACACCGTTGCAGCTGTTAGGCACAACGTGCTCAGCAGAGCCGTGGTGGTGAGGTCCGGGAGCAGGGTGCTGAGGTCCTCACGGGACCCCTTGGCCCGGCCGGGCCCCGTTCCTGCGGCCGCGGCAGTGCAGGACCACGAGCCACCTCGTCACCCCGGGCTGGTCTCCAGCAGCCTGCCGGGCTGGTGGGAGCGATGCAAGGGAGCAGAATCTAGTTAAATCGCATGCGGTTATTTGTCCTGCTAGTAGCAATTAAAGGTTAATTATTAAAAAAAAAAATTTAAATAAAAATCAGGGGGTTTGATGTGATTTCTGCTGTCTTGTTTTTACATTACTTTGATTTTCAGCGCCTGGTTTCACCTTTGATTCCCACGTGCCAGCGCACCACGTCTGGGGTGGGGAGGGGAAGAAGCAGCAGTTCGCGCAGACTGAAAAGTTTAAATGAGGCCCCCAAACCTTTTTTAATTGATTTCTTTCCCTGGGAAAACATTTATTTTCATACAAGGCTCTGCAGGCTCCTTCTGCCCACTCTCCGTTGCTCCCTGCCTCCTGCTGTCACTGAATATTGCGGCAGCCAGTTTCTTTGCTCTCCCCTCTCCCTGCCTGGTGGGATGCTCCAAAACCTGACGTGGATGGAGGAAAATGAATGCAAACTGTTAATGAAAATAAACCTGCTAAGGTTTATTCCTGCTAAGGAATAAATAAGCGAAAAGGAGTGTGTCCGTTTGGGTTGCTCATTTCAGAAAGATCCCCGTGGTTAGGGGGAGACTGGCCGGCGAGGGTTTCCCCTGCAACCGCTCCTTCGCTCCTTTTTCTTTTGCTGTTTTTATTTCTCTGTTCGTTTCCCAGAGTTGCCTCCTTTCCCCTCGACGCCTTCCCACGCTCCAGGCGTGCGGCGTACGGCCGGCTGAGCCGGCTGCGCCGGGATCCGCCAAGGAGCTGCTGCCGTAGCACACGCCGGTGGCACAGCAGCGGCGCCGGGAGCTCGCCGACGGTGCTCGGCACCTCCTTTCCCACCGCTTGTGCTTCGACTCGGAGCGAACGATGCCGTCCTGGTACAGGGAACTGAAATAGCGAGCGGTGACAAAACACCAGGGAGGTAACGCCGTGCTGCAGGGCTTATTAAACAGGCAGCATTTTATACGTGTCCATTAGAGGTATCGATAGCTTCTTATTTGGTGTGTGGCATCTGTCACCTTCCCCACCAGGAAACCGCAGGGCCGTGGCACAGCCGTCAGCTGCCCTGCTACAGGCAGCGAGAGCTCCGCATTTAGACATTGTGGTGGCCGTGCTGCCGAGCCTCAGGAGCGGGGGTAGAGCTGAATCTTTTTGTTCTCCAAAAATAACTCCGATTTGCTAGGCCTCAGTGGTTTTTAAAAGGAGGTTTTCCATTAGCTTTCCATCAGAGAGCCGCTGGCAGCGCTGCCGACGTCCCCGCTCCCTCTGAAAAGAAGCCACGGGATGCGGCCCCCGTGGCTTCAATGCAGGTTTGCTGATTTTTTAAATACAAGGAAATAGAATGAGTGAGAAATGCATTAAAATTGGTTTCAAGCAGAATATTTTTAAATACAAATAAAGTTTTAGGAACTGTTTTGTTGACACGTGTAACTTTATGTAAACATTTGAGAAAGGCGCGAGATTGTGATAACCGCTGGAATACAAAAAGTCAGCAGACCAAGGTAGGAGTGACACCAAGCCATTTATTTTTACTGTCTGAGCTCAATGAAAGGCAAACAAACAAGGAAAATAAACTAGATGTTTACAAAAGGCCCGGGGTGGGAGCAGTTGCCAAGTTCCCGAGCGGAGCCCAGCGCCCCGGCTGAAAGGTGCTGCTAAAGGGCCCCTTTCTGTTCCCCCTGGAAATCCCTCCGAGCCGAGCCCAGCGCCCCGGCTGAAAGGTGCTGCTAAAGGGCCCCTTTCTGTTCCCCCTGGAAATCCCTTTTCACAGCATTTTATTATCCAGACATTCCTCGTTTAGGAAACCTCACAGTTCATATCCAAATCATTCTTAAAGAAGGTGAAAGGTGCAAAATGAACTGCTTTTAAATTAGCAAGTTAAAATACGTGGTCAGAAATTAGGAGTGAAAACATGCTGGCTATCTTCTCCTGGCAGTGGCTGCCCTTCGCTCTGCTGCGCGGGGCAAAGGGAAAACGAGGCAGTTTTCATTTCTTGTGTGGTACCTGACTTACTGGTACCATGATCGCCCAACTAAAATATGAAATCAAAGAAGAAACCTATTTTTTTTCTTTTTCCAAGTATGCCTTTTGGGTGCAGTTGCTTGAGGATGGTAAATAAGAATGGCAGATCATTGTAATTTAGAGGCAGCACCTAAGCACAAACGTCAGATATTATTTTGATAGTTTCCCAGGAAGCATATTAACATTTTTATACTCTGCAATACCACACAGGAGAAAGAAAGGATCAAAGGAGCAGCGAGGTTCATGGGATGAGGAGGTCTGGGAGAGCTGGGCTGGCGAGGGCGGGGAGCCGCAGCACCAGTAAAAGCTGCGTTTCCTCCAGGGGAACCAGTACCCGTAAACCCAACGCTTTGGATGATGTTGTGGCGTATCAGAGGACTTTACTGCTTCCTTCATTTGCCTTTCCGTAAGAGAGGTCTTCATTAGACGTGCACCACTTTGTGTTTAAAAAAGACACGGTGGGTGTTTCGCAATGGGAACTGCATTTGCTGAGTTGATCCTCTGCAGCGCTGCTGTGAACTGAGAAAGAAGCCGGTGGGGAGGTGGGACACAACGGGGCAAAGCCCGTCCAGAGCAAAACGTTAAACCCGCTGTGCTGAGCTCCTTCCCACACCAGCCCTCCTTTCTCCTCGCTGTGGCAGGCCAGTTTCAAGCCCGGCACGTGTTAGCGTTGCCTTCGGGGGGGCTTTGCTGGCTACCACCCAGCACGGGTGCTCTCCACCGATGCCATCCCACGCACGAGGCACCGGCCGTGGCCTCCCAGCACCACCTCCCCTCGCTCCCTGCGCACGGGGCTGCAGCCGGAATCTGCGCTCGGTTTGAAGCGGCGGTGATGCGTCGCCAGGCTGCGCGCACACGCGCTGCTTCGGGGTCCGTCACATTTCCATGACAGCCCGTGTGGCCGCAGCTCTCTCTGCCCAGGGCCATCCCCTGCGAGGCCTTTTTGCTGTTAACAGCAGAGGAAGAAAGAACAGTAAATGTGTGCTGCCGGTCCTAGGGGCGAACATAAAGCCATGCCTCCGTATACTTTTGTTTGCTCCGACAGCACAAACAACGTCAGCAGGCTTTTTTTTTCTTCTAGGGCTTCTTTTTGTTTATTATTCCCCTTTTTATTCCTCCTCATCCTCCCGGGCAGCGGGCAGCTTTGCTCCCTAACCGATTGCTTGCCTGTTTGGAGTTAAACATGAGCTGAGCGCTGTGATGGACTGTGGCTGAAGTACCCCCTGAGCACTGGTGGGACTGGGCTGAACTGGAAATGCACCTTCCAGATACCCGCGTTGGTGGTTTAACACTGAGGGTATGGATTTGGGTGCAGCCCTGGCAGCGGCATGGGGGCCCGGGGAAACCTGCTGGCTTCTTGGTGCTCCACGGCAAAGACAGATGGGTTCAATGGCGGCTGACACACGGGCTCCCGTGGAGCCCAGCACGGAGGCAGAGCCGTCTGAGGCCACCGAGGGCTGTTTCCGAGGACACGTGCCGGCTGTGCAGAGGTTTGCTCTCCTCCCACGGCTATTTCCTTGCCATGGGACCTAAGCAGCTGTTACATTCCCTTCAAAAAACCACCACCTTTGCAAACTTTGGCAATGTGTATTTTGTTTGCTAGAAACCTCTACTCTTTCCTTGCCATGAAATGCATTCTTGACACCTCCTCCCCCTATCGCCATGAATAACTAGCACCCCTCAGACTGGGGATGTGGCTGGACCCTGCCCAGTAATTCCCACCGCGGGGGCTGCTGGGCAGGGAACGGGGTGCGCTTGCAGCCCCAGGCATGAGTTACACTCCAATAAATCAAGTCCAGGCGTGTTTCACTGTGTGCAGGAGAGGAACTGAGAGGAAACCCCCAGCACGGCGATCCCCAGCCATCCACCCCTGGCCCCGAGGCCAGCCTGCATCAGGCTGCTCACGAGGGATGTCCCCAGGGCCCCAGTTGTGCTGGGAGGACACCACGAGATTTCATAAGCAGTAAAATACCAAAAGCTGAGTTTTCTTCCTGTATCTGCACAACACAGCCAGCACTGGAGCTCCACGCTTTTCGGGTAGGTGCTGTGGCTGTTTAAGGATCTCTCCCCAATGTGGATGTGTTGCAGTGGGTAACGTTCAGACACTTGACCCCTCTTATGCAGGGCATCGCTGTCAGGAGGAAGAGCCCCATCACTGGCAGGAAAATGGGATTATTCCTTGCATCCCAACAGAAGAGCCGCCTGGCATTCACACTGGAGATGCAAGCAGGGTTTCAGCCAACTGTTTGTGAATAAGTCCCTTGTGCCTAGAGAAGGCACTGCCACTTTCTGTACCGTCAGGCTTGTGGCAGGAGATGAGCCGAGTCCAAAGGGCGGTGGGATCAGAGCCGCTCCGGTTTAGCATCGCTTATTTTCCTGGCTGGTGCTGGAGGTGCCAGAGGGAGGTGGACACAGGCTGTGCCCCGCTCTGTCTCCCTGGTCCTGCCCCGGTGCTGTCGCTGAGCCTTCGGGCTGCGGCTGCTGGTGAGAAGCTGGGCTGCGAGCAGAGCTCTGCCTGAGGACAGCCTTTCCCCCGCTACGTTTCTAAGGCAGATTAAACGGTAGACAGAGCAGCCTTGAGCGTTCTTCTAATTAAAACAAAATCCCTTGTGGCCTCTTATATACAGAGAGATACTACAGACTTAAGGGATGTATAAAATGTATATTTATTGATTGGATCAACTGTTGCAGCTCCTTCCACAGTGTCCAGTGAGAGCATTAAGAGCCGACTGACCGGGCTGGTGAGGAGGGCAGGGAAGGGGGATTTGGCTTGTGCCTTCATCGATGCCAGCCCACTGGGCTGCTGGCCCAGGCACCTGTGTCACAGTGAGCCCGTGACTACCTGCCTGGTGTATATACCTATATATGTATACATTTATATACATGGCTACCTAGCTAGGCATCGCCTCCCGTGCCCGCCTTGGGAGCCCTTCATTTCTGGTCCTGCTTTGCTGGTGCTGGCGTGGGTTTGCAGAGTTGCACCCACAGCGGGTTGTTTCTGGCTGCTTTGCTTCTGAGTCCGCTTGCGATGGCCATTTTTTCGATGGCAGGAATGGAAGATCTTTTCTGGTGAAGCCTTGGTAGTGATCGAGGGACAAGACGTGCTTTTCAGTGAGAAACAGGCAACCACTCGAAAGCTTTTGCAGGCTGAGATTTTGTGCTTAGCAAGTTGCTCCACGTTGAAGAACAACCCCAAGAAATGTGAGTGTGTAGTGGAAATGTCTGCAGGCCTGGATTAAAACAGCTCTGGCAGATGATGCTGTAGCTTCCACAACATAAACATTACAGAAAAATAGTGTAAATACGGGGGATTCTATTTTTTTTTCCTCATTTTTTTCCCTCGCTCAGGCCAGGAACTGCTAGAGCTTAAATAAATCATTGCAGAAGTGAGACTGACCCAAATCATTTTACACAGCGGAGACCTTGTCTCCTGCTTTTGGAGCTTCTCGTATTTATGCTGTGCCAGAACAGAGTTTAAGTTGTCTGTACGGCAGCAGCTCCTTCCTACGCTCCGGGGAGCTCGGGGGAAGGTGTGAGATCAGCTCGCGTGTGGCAGCGAGGCTGCTGGGGAGACAAAACCACCAGCTCACGCGTGCCAGGGGAACCAGTGGGTATTTTTGGTGCTGCACCGTTCGGCGCTTGGCACTGGCTGGTTTCCCTGCCCTGTGCAGGGCTCCCGCTCCGCCGGGCTCTGCTTGTCCCCGTGCGAGCACCCGGTTGGGTCATTCAGGAGTGGCCAATTAATTCGTGCATAAGTGGCTAATCAGTGAATGCACAAGCGTCCAGTTAATTTACATTTGAGCACCCAATGAGTTCATGCATGAGCACCCAATTAGCGCGTGCATCAGCACACAATTAGCTCATGCATGAGTGCCCGGGAGGTGCATGAGTGCCCAACCGGTGCACGCATGAGCAACTGAAAAGATCCTGCATGAGCGTGCAGTGAACCTGCACACGGATTCACAATTAGTTCACGCACGAGTGCAGGATTAGTCCACGCATGAATGCCCAGTTAGCGCATGCATGAATGCCCACCTGCTGTGCACATCAGCCCCCAATTAGTGCATGCATGAGCACCCGAGTAATTCACGCATGAGCACCCAGTTATTTTGCATATGAATGCCCAAGTAGTGCATGCATGACTGCTCAATTATTTCATGCATGAGCACCAAGTGATTTACACGTGATTTCCCAGCTGGTTCACCCATGAGCGCCTAGCATGTTCCCAGAGCGGGGACTCCCCTGGGGACTGCAGCCCATGGCTGACTGGCAGGGAAGGCAGGAGCGCAGCAGAGCAGAGGTAATGCAGAGAATGGCGTGGACATGGCTGCTGTGGATGCGCTGTGACGGTGCAGGAGGAAACCCCCACCCTGCAGCCAGCCCAAAGCAACCTGGCATGCCCTGGCACCCCGCAGCTCGTCTGAGGGCAGTGCTGTGCTCTGCTCTACCACAAAAACCCAACCCTGGTGGGTGCTGTGGCTCACAGGAGGGTGGAGTAGATGATCACGACAGACCTTCCAGCCTTAAAAATTTAGGAAACCTTTGATGTGCAGGCAGGGCCCCTTGCAAATAAACCATATGGAGTTTAGGGCTTGTGCTGCAGCACGCAGCCCAAATGCTATAACGGGCGGGAGGACAGAAAAGAAAAAATGGAGAAAATCAAGGGAAGAAGTCAAATTAACACTCATCCCTGCCTCACCGTCCGGCTGGGACCCCTGCAAAGCCTGCTGCGGGAGCAAAGCCGCAAGGCACGGTCACACAGCATGTGGTTTGACGTGACTTTTCCTTTGGTGCTTATATTGTCTCTAAACCCGCCTTTCACTTCGGGAGAGATCAGATTAAAGGGAGTTCTCAGCTCTCAGTGCATCCAGCTGGTCTGGGAGCCCGAGCTGGGGTGCCGGGAGCTGCGAGCAGCGGGCTGGACGGCTCAGCCCGGCCGGGCTGCGTCACCCCCTCATCCCTCCGCATGCACAAAGGCAGTTGTTATGTTCCCATGCTAA